AAATGGAGGCAGAAGATGTCTTCCAGTCATCAACGCTCACATTCAGCAACACACAGGATCTATCTATCTATCTATCTATCTATCTATCTATCTATCTATCTATCTATCTATCTATCTATCTATCTATCTATCTATCACACAGGAGCTCTTTCAAGCTGGGCACTGTTTCATTCACAACACCTGTCCCACCAACCAGGAACCAGAACCAGATGTTTTTACTTTAAAAGTTACGGATGTTATTTTGGTACCTCCCAGATGTATCAGTGTGTGTGTGAATAAGATGTTTGAACTCAAAGCTGGTTGTATAAAGTCGCTTTATGGAGTTCAGTCCGTTTCCTTTTATCAGTTTACGGCAGTTCTGCCACATCCAAGATGGCCGACTCACTGATGTATCCTAGCAACGGACCAACAGGCTCAGTGAAGAGTTTGTTTGGATCTGTCTATGTCCCGGCCGGTTCCGGGTTCTGGCCGGTCCTAGACTGGTTCTGGCCGGTCCCAGGTCCTGGTCGGTTCTGGGTTCTGGCAGGCCTCGGGTTCTTGATGGTCCCAAGTTCCGGCCGGAACCAGCTGGTTCTGGCCGGTCTCAGGTGGTTCCGTCCAGAACCACCTGAGACCGGCCGGTTCCAGGTTCCGGTTCCAGATGGTCCCAGACTGCTTCCCGCTCGTCCCAGGTTCCGGGTCCCGGCCGGTTCCAGACGGTTCTAGACAGTCCCAGCCTGTTCCAGCCCTTCCCAGATGGTCCTGAGACTGGTTTCCGGACGGTTCTGGGTTCTTGACGGTCCCTGGTTCCGGCCAGAACCCGGGACAGGCGGGAACCAGCTGGTTCTGGCCGGTCCCAGGTCCTGGTCGGTTCTGGGTTCTGGCAGGCCTCGGGTTCTTGACGGTACCCATGTTTCGGCCGGAACCAGCTAGTTCCTGCCTGTCTCAACTGGTTCTGGCCAGTTCCGGGTCCCGGCCGGTTCCAGCCGGTTCCAAACAGTCCCTGGTTCCGTCCAGAACCTGGGACAGGCCGGAACCGGCTGGTTCTGGCCACCGGCCGGGGACGGGCTCCGGTTCCAGATGGTCCCAGACTGCTTCCCGCTCGTCCCAGGTTCC